AAAGATCACAACCTTGAGGCCAGCCTGGGCTACAAAGCAAGACTCTGTCTCAACAAAAAAACAAAACAAAACTCCAAACAAAGCTATAGACACAGATATGAACATACAGGCAGATGCTTGTACACACACACAGACAAACACCAAAGTCAAACAACATTTTGGCAGGGAAAATCTCAGAAGTCTTTCAAATATTTTATCTCCTGATTTTACTGCAGCCCAGAGAACTGAAGGAATTAGCCAATGATCACATAGTTTATGTTATTTTTATTTTTTGTTCTTCAAGATAGGGTTTCTCTGTGTAGCTTTGGAGTCTGCCCTGGAACTCACTCTGTAGACCAGGTTGGCCTCAAACTCACAGAGATCCATCTGCCTCTGCCTCCTAAGTGCTGGGATTAAAGGTATATGCCACCACTGCCCGCCTCTTTTATCCTTTCTTTCCTCCTACCCTCTTGTTCTTTTCCTACCTTCTCTAGTCTGTAAGTCTAGATCACTGATTTAAACCCTTCTTCTTAGACTGGGCAGGAAATGTATGCCTGGCTATCCTGACGAGGTCCAGGATAGCCAGGGCTACATTGAAAGGCCCAGTTTCAACACCCCCCACCCCCAAAGAATGTTTTCTTGTACTCTGTAGACATTTAAAGTTTTAAATTTTACTAAGTGAATATTGCTTTGGGAGTATCCCTAAATATTGCTGTGCATTGTTTTCCAATTTTTCTTGTGATTCCATTGACTTGTGGGTAACTCAGAAGCATGTTGTCTAATTTTTAACTATTTAGAGCTTTGTTGGATATCTTGTTACCAATTCCTAATTTAGTTCTGTTTTAGTCAGGAGGCATAACCTGCAATACTCCTGCTTGGAAATCCACTTGGACTTACTTTATGTCCCAGTGTATGGGCCATCTTGGTGAATAAATTCACATGAACTTGAAAAAAATTTGTATTCTGGGTTTTTCAGGGGGTGTTTTTCCAATAGAATCAGTTAGGTCAACACAGTTGACACTGTTGCTCAAGCCTTCTATATCTTCAATCATTTCCTTGTCTTTTTAATTTATTATGTGTGTGTGTGTGTGTGTGTGTGTGTGTGTGTGTGTGTGTGCGCACATCCATTGGCATGCATGAGTGGAAGTCAGAGAACAACTTTCTAAAGTTGTTTCCTTCCGCTTTGGGTTTTGGGGATTGAACTGAGGCAGTCAGGCTGTCCGTCTTGCTCAGCAAGTGCATTTACCTATTGAGCCATCTCAACATTCTGCTATATAATCAAAACCAGGACCCATGCTATGCCAGCACTTTACTACCACTTCAAATGTCCAGCTGTTTTTATTTTGATTTACTTATTTAATTTTTTGGAAACCTATTTTATATTTTAGGGTCTCTTGTAGACTTGGCTGTCCTAGAACTCTCTATGTAGTCTCAAAATCACAGAGATACACATGCCTATACCTCCCTAGTCCTGGGAATAAAGGTGTGTGCCACCAGGAGGCCATTGGTTCTTTGTTTGTTTTAAAAGTGTATTTATTCTGCTCTTTGTTTTGTTTTGGTTTTTTGAGGCAGGATTTCTCTGTGTAATCCAGGCTGTCCTGGAACTTGCTCTGTAGACCAGGCTGGCCTTAAACTCAGAAATTTGCCTGCCTCTGCCTCTGAGTGCTAGGATTAAATGTGTGCACCACCATTCCTGGCTTTGTTCTGTGCTCTTTATTGGGTTAGGGATGTTCAAATTCTCCAACTGTCCACAAAATACCACATTTTAGGCAGTGGATACTGGCTTATGCCTGTAATCTCAGTCTTGGGGGGAGATAAAGACAGATGGGTCACCACAAATCTGAAGCTTGGCTGAACTACATAGTGAATCTGAAGACAGCCTGGAGCTACACAGTGAGACTTTGTCTTAAAAAGCAAAGCAAAAATTTAAAAAGCCCCCAGCTCCTCCCTTCAAAAGAAAAAAATCCCACCACATTTTATATGATTGCATTTATTCAGAATGTCTAGAATATGCAAATATGCAGAGGCAGATCTTTGCAAGGCTTGGCTTTGTTCTGTGGGTGTGTGGGTGGGGGCATATGCATGACTTCCTTAACCTATCTCAGTACATTCTTAGCCTATTTTAGTCTACTTACATTTACTATTACACCAATATAGCACTTCCCACTTGACACATCCCATTTTCTGCTTCACACCAGATACTTCCAATTCACAAATCTATTAATCCAGGACAGCACAGTTTCATTTTCCTACCCACTCATTTCTTGTGCAATTGTCAAACATCTTGAATGTGTTACATAGCCCAACATATAGGGTTATTTTTCTTTAGTCAGTTGTCTTTTACAGAAATTCCAGAAAGGGACAACACATTCTGTGTTCTCATTAGACCATGTTTAACACTAAAACATGGCATCACGGTAGCCTCTTGTGGAAACTTGGGATATTCAATTTTTGTCCATTAGATTTTTGTCTGGGCCAGACCACGCACATCTTCCAGACCTACTCAATTTCCAGAATTTTCTTTTCTGTTCCTACTCATATAGCTGTTGTCCTCTAGTAAGCCCATATTATCTCAACTTGCACGTGCCAGGGAAGTCTTCAGGCCAAAGTTTGCAGTGAATCCACATACAGACTGTGGCATACTCTTAAGCCTGGTTCCCTTGTCAGCGGTACAGTGCTCCAAATCATTCAAGCTGCTTCAACAGCCCTAAACTCTGGATTTTGCCACATCGGCTCAGCAGGACTCTGTGCTCTGCTTTTGATCCACTTCCCTGCGTTGCCGTCATGGAACTGTGTCCAAGTCAAGAACCAGGGAAGTGGTGGGCTCACCCTCAGAGCTCCCATTCTGTGATGACTGTATTTCCCTCAGTGACCCAATGCTCTGGTTGAGCGCCAGGGTCCACTGCCAGCTATGTGAGAGAACTGCCCTAGACATTGTGGAGTGGGGAGAAGCTACCCTGATGTGCCTTACCTGAAATTTTCATCCACAGTATCTGTGAACTTAATGAAGTATTGTTTTATTCACCAAATCTTGGATGGTAGGTTTTTTTTCTCGGCTGGGGGGTGGTGGTGATGGTAGTGGTGGTGGTGGTGGTTGTTTTTTGTTTTGTTTTGTTTGCTCGTTTTTGCTTGCTTGCTTGTTTGGTTTGGTTTTGACTTTTTGATACAGGGTCTCATGTGTCCCAGGCTGACCTCAAATTCACTATGTTGTCAAAGATGACCCGAACTTCTGATCCTCCTGTTTAGACTTCCCAAGTGCTGGGATTACAGGTTCATGCCAGAGTGCTTGATTTTATGAGACATAACTTGTCATAGCCATAGTCACTGCCACACAGTTAGGAGCTGCAGTCCTCTGCTGCCTGTTGGAAATGCTGGAAATAACTGCTTTACATGCTTTGTTCTGTGCTATTGTTGGTGAGCTAGACTCCTGGCCAGGAGCTCTAAATCTGAAGCTCAGTGCTCCAAGATAATGATACAGATAATTCTAACATCAACATTAGACCAACTTCTCTGTACAGACTGCTTTCTATGTACTAGGTACCAGGCTGAGCATTTTAGATACACATTTTCAGTGAAACCATCCAACCATCTTGTGAAACAGGTATTATGAGTGCCTACTGATTAAACGATTTGCCCTGGTGTTTGTGCAGGTCTGGAAGCCCATGTAAGCAATGGACATACATTGCAACCATGCACAGAAACACAGATAGACTCTCACACACAACTGTATATACTCACATGTGCTCTTGCATAGACACAGAGAGATGTACACCCAACTACACATTTCCTGAGCATTTTTGCTTTTAAAACATTTTTAATGCCCAGAATTTAAAATCCCCTCCCCCCAATTTATGTTAAACAGATTGGAAGGGACTCAATCTGCTGGATATTAAGTTTCCCAAGCATACCCCAAGATGAAATTCTCTCCATCTGGGGCCACCACAAGCATGGGCAGCAGAGATACTGTCACTGTTCCTCTGCCAGGGATTGCCTAGGGGGAGGTGGGGTGGGACTCTTAGCAAAGACTTGGCTTTGTGGGCAGAAGCCTTCTCCTGGGACCTCACGACTGCACTTGATGCTGTCCAGAGAGTCAAGCAAATCCAGAGTAAATCCAGAGAGTCAAGCAAACCCTTATATGCAAAATCGGAGAATGCCTCCTCTATTGTAAAGGGAAGAAGGGCTGAGTTTGGCCGACTGCCTGTTAAGGCAAGGTCATTTCCGGATATCCCCAAACTGTGGTGGGAACCAGAGAATGGAAGGACACAGGACAGGGGCCCAAGTACCGGCACAGAACCTGGACTCAAATGTGAAAGCTTATTCCCACCTCTTCTTACAATAGCGGAGATCTACGTCCTCCTCTTGAGAGGTGAAAAGAAGAGATTATTTTGGTGTGTGTGTGTGTGTGTGTGTGTGTGTGTGTGTGTGTGTGTGTGTGTGTGTGATTAGTGTTAGTACAATCAAAGTCGAAAACAAACCACACCGATTCCCATTCCACCTCACAAAGGTTGAGAAAAGTGAAATGAGAAATCCTTCGAGGTTTATGTCTGCCTCCTTTTCTCACCTTCGGCCCTAAAGCACTATTTAAAACTCCCTAATAGGAGCCTCTACAGATTGTCCCCGTTTGACAGATTACACTAGTTTTGAACGGTTTAAAAGGCTTGCTTTTGTTAGGCATGGCAGCTCAAGCCAGGAGGCTGCGGTTGCTCTGACCAGTCAGCAGTACCCTCTGCACGACACCCAAGGTACAGGACATTTAGATTAGTGTCTTAGTCTCCCCGAAGCGGTCACTAAGGTAGGGTTCTCTCTAGGCTCTAGCCTGCCTGCCTGTCGAGTCTGGTCACTGACTCTTGACCCTGATAATCAATGCGGGATCGTAAGCCTGTGTGGTCCCACACAGCTCTGGCACAGGGAGAAATCCTGTCCTGTCTCTTTGTGTACAAGTTATCAGAGCGAGGGCACTCAGCTGGTCGCTCGGAGGGGACCGCTGTTGGTGTCCCCTCTCGGCCAGGCACACACCGTACCTCCGCCTCCTGGCGCAGCTCCGGGTGTCCTAGTCGGGCGGGCTGTGCATCCCGGCAGCCCCACAGCAGCAGCAGCAGCAGCAGCAGGGCGCGCAGCAGGAGGCTCACGCCAGGCACCATCGCGGCGAGCTGTGGGGCACTGGTGGTCAGCTGCGCCCGACTCCCGCGAATGCCAGTTTGTCGTGGTCCACGAGAGGACCTGTCAGCTCCCGGGGCTCTTTAGAGACCTGCTCCGCCGCCGCCCAAGGTCGTCCCGCACCCGCGATGCCGGCCGGCCCTTCGGCCAGCCGAGGACCGAGGGGGCGGAGAGGGAAGGGAGTGCCGGGCGCCGCCCCACCCACCAGCCTAGCAGCTAGCTGGAGCCTCTTCCGCCCGCGAGGCAGCCTAGCTCGGCGCCCGCTGCCACTCTTCTCTTTGGTCCCTGTCTCTCCAGGAAGGGCAGGGGCGGATAGGTGTTCTAGTCCTTCAGTTACCTAGGACTTTGGAAAAGAGGAGTCCTGGCCTAGGCGAGGCTTGTGGTTTCAGTCAGGTGCCAGGCCAGGTTCTTGACTGAGAGAGAAGGCAGGGTTGGGGTCAGGGAGCTGGGGGCTGGAGTTTGAGATAGGCTCCTTTGGAAATGCTCTGAGTTCCTGCCCCAGCCACAGTAGACTGTGTAGACTTTGGCTACCCACTCTTTCTGAAGCTTTTATCATGGGGAAATAGGGATAGGAATGCATAGATCCTGGGGTCTGGGGGAAGATTCGGTGATAATGCCTGTACTAAGTCAGCATGGCGCCTGGTACCACGCAGAACATAATAAATGGCGGGGTACAGTGGTGCCACCTTTGGCAAAGGATCATCTATTTCAAGTGCCTGCCGCTTTCTTCATCAGTAAATGACATTTAGTTCCCAGAATAGCATGAAAATGAAGGGCATACATGGCAAAAGATTCCATATAGCCTACTGTACAGTGTATAAGAACGGAATGGAACGATTTCTCTGACACATACTGGGCAAAAGGGAACTCCTTCGTGTCTACCTTTGAGAATGAATGCAGGTTGCTTTGTCAGTCCACCCATCTGGAAAAAGTAAAATGGGACCAGGACTTTGTCCTTCTGGGATTAGGTGTGGGTTGTAAAAATAATCTGGAATCTATTTAATGCTAAACAAAAGTAACACAGTGTTCTAAATCCCGAGGCTCAGGGCCTCAATTGCCCTGGAAATTTTGTGCTGTTAGAAAAAGACACTATTGGGGTAGAGGAATTGGAAAAAGTTCTTTGAATACACATCCCCATCTTATAAACAGGCATTCCTTGTGTGGCACTAATTGGAAACAGCACCCTCTTCCACCATACCTTCCAACCAGCCAATGAAAAGGGGGCATCTCTAGGGAGATCAATTAGAAACAAGCAATCCTCTGGGAAGACAGACAAGAAAAATCCACCCTTCCCTGGGGTAGACAATCCCTGTGCCAGGGAGCAGCTGGGGGCAGAGTTGGAGATGGGTTTCTTTGCTTAACTATCCTACAGGGGATTCTCCTCGGAAGTGCTGCCTGGGGAGCCTTGTTCTCTGAGAGCTTCCAGCCTACCTATATGGCCTACAGTGTAAATTCTCAGTTAAGAACAAAACACATGGTGGACAAGCTTTGGTGGCCCCCAGGAGAGGGTCTGAAAGGGAATGGGATAGAGTTGCTAAAGACAGAAAAAACAACAACAACAAAACCCCACAGCCCTCAGTTAAACTTCAATATCACAAGGATAGTTGTCTAATATAGGTGGGTGTCATCTGGAACAGGCATACTAAAAATGATTAGACAAAGTCCAACTGGGCATCTTATAATTTAACTGGTAACTGTAGGATATATGCATGAATTTTGGGTATGACAATGGCACACGGTAGCCTTGACTAATGGGTGGGTTCTAACAGGCCTGAAAGCACTTCTCTGGATCAGGGAGCTTTAGGAAGTATCAGTAAGGGACACCTATCTAAGAGGTCTGAGCTGGCCAATTCTTCTCCATTTAGAGTCTCTCCATTCTCTCTTCTAGCACATACCAGAGTCCATTTCAGCTGCACTATTGAGAAAGGGGAAGAGGGAGCTGTGGGTCTCTAGATAACCAAGCATCTGGAAGAACACAGGCTTGGTTGCACAGATAGCTGATTCTACCTTTCTATGAATGCCAGGTCGATCCCATCCATGGACCTTTCACACTAGTACCTCTGCTGAGTCTGGAAGCTCCCTTGTTCTACTTGACCTTGTCTCCTTGGTTGTGCTATTAGGAGAACAAACAACAGCAACAAACAACCCCCCCACACACACACACACAAAGCCACACACACATCAGGGGCTAGAGTAATGGCTCAGTGGTTAAGAGCACTTGCTGCTCTTGCAAAAGACAGTAGTTTAACTTCCAGCACCCACATCGGGTAGCGCTCACAACTGCCTATAAGTGAAGCTCCAGGGAATGTGATGTCTTCTTCTGACCTTTGAGGGCATTAGCATCCATGTGCATACACCACCTCCCACACACAATTAAAAATTAAATGTTTTACTTTTATTTTATTTTTTAAAGAATTATTTATTTATTTATTTATTTATTTATTATGTATACAGTGTTCAGCCTGCACCCCAGAAGAGGGCACCAGATCTCATTATAGATGGTTCTGAGCCCCCATGTGGTTGCTGGGAATTGAACTCAGGACCTCTGGAAGAGCAGCCAGTGTTCTTAACCTCTGAGCCATCTCTCCAGCCCCCAAATTAAATATTTTAAAGTATGGATATTTTGCTTGTATGTGCACCACATGTGTTCAATGTCTTTGGAGGGCAGAAGAGGGCATCAGATTGAGTATAACTGGAGTTACAAACAGTTGTCAGCTGCCCTGTAGGTGCTGGAAATGAAACCCAGTCCTCTGCAAGAGAAACCAGTGCTTTTAACTGTGGAGCCATTTCTCCAGTCCCTAAAATAAATCTTTTCTGGTGGGGAGCCAGGCAGTGATGACACATGTTTTAATCCTAGCACTTGGGAGGCTGAGGCAGGTGGATATCTGTGAGTTCAAGACCAGGCTGGTCCATCGAGCCAGTTCCAGGACAGCTGGGGCTACAAAGAAAGACCCTGTGACTTCTTTATGAGAAAACTACTATTCTATGCATTCTTATTTTAAAGGATGAGGAAAATGAGTCTCCTACATTCCATCATTTGTTCCAGTTCTAGTAATGGAGGCAGGATTTAAACCTGAATGGTGTGACTCTAGAACACGGCACTATCGTTCATCCAGTGAAATGCAAAAAATGTGATTCTCAGGCCCCTCACAGAAACACTCCCTAAAAATTCTGATTCCTCGGCTGAGCTATAGCTCAGAGGTCAAGTACTTGCTCAGCAAGCACAAGGCCCTGGGTTCATTCTCAGAACACAGCCTCCCTCCCCCCTTCCAGAAACATTCAGATTCCTGAGGCTTACTACAGGCTTAAAGAATCACTAAACACTAAATACCAGTGTCCAAGAGGAAATCAGCTCTGAGTTTTCCAATGGTCTTGTTTCTGTTTTCTTTCCTACCCTGTCTTTGCTGGGTGGTTTCTGATTCTGGGCCAGCAGTGCTGGTAGCGTTCACCACGTGTCCTCTTCAAAGAGAGCTGCCTCCCCTCCCTTCCTCCTGTAGAACTCAGGGTTTGGCTCAGCTCCTTAGATCCTCCCAATCCTCCCAGAGTGGACAGCCTGGACATGCTTGTGCCAAGGGGAGTAGCTGTCAGTGGCCATTCCTCCTGTTCTGGCAGAAGGTCACAGCAGGTCTCTTGAATCAGGCAAGATGTATAAACCTCGACACGGAGCCTTTATGCCTCAGTTTCCCTCTGCATTATTACAGGAACAGGGGGCTGGAGAGATGGCTCGGAGGTTAAGAGCACCGACTCCTCTTCCAAAGGTCCTGAGTTCAATTCCCAGCAACCACATGGTGGCTCACAACCATCCATTATGAGATCTGGTGCCCTCTTCCGATGTGCAGATAAACATGGAAGCAGAATGTTGTGTACTAAATAAATAAATAAAATCTTTAAAAAATAATTACAGGAACAATCAGCGTTTTCTTTGTCCTTTCCTCCTTCCCAGGAAGGGTGCAGACCACAAAGGAGGATTCTATCAGAGGGATTCTGGGCTCCCAAGTAAAGCATTCATTCATAGGAGGGCCAGCCTCAAGGAATCCTGAGAATAGGAAAATCTGGGGATTAATGAGGACAGGAGGAGCTGGAGTGAGCTGGAGAGGCTTACCCTGGGAGGTGAGGGCTTTGGTGGAGGAAAGACTTATCACTGGCAGGGGCCTCTGAGTTTTTAGTGATGCAATTCCCCTGCTTTCCAGCAATCACCTCTACCTGCAACAGAGGGAGGTCCCCCCTCTTCAGCACAGAAGGACATAATCTTCTCAGTCTGGGACACCCTTCACAAGTGCACCTGCCTATATACTTTTGGATCTCTTGCTCCTCTTTCCCCTTACCCCTCCTCTCTGATTTGGGAAAAGCAAGACATCTGGAAAGAGACAGACCTGGCTCTGAATCTTGGCTTTTTCACATTATGTGATCTTTGTAAATTAACTAACAACTTTGAGTTTCCGCTGCTTCTCAAGTAGGACAAAGAGAATTCTTGCCTTTTTTTCCGTGCCCCTGACAAGCAATGAGGAGTGAGCAAGATGATTTGTAACCTGAATCCTGTCAAGTACTGGCGATGGGTTGCACAGACACAAGTGTTCACCCCTGGACTGTGAAGTTTCCACACCTGGGCTCACTCATATTCCAGAGGACACATTGCAGAGCAATCACAGAGCTTATTCCCTAAGTCGTGCTCCAGTTTGGAGGAGCCCACTGCCCCATCCCTCATCACAGCTTAGCAAAAGCATCAGCCTCCTCTTGATGTGTTTTTTACTCACACCAGGACCCTAGGGACATGTGAGGAACACAATAAAAGCTGGGCCAATCTGGCACTGTGCCTCACTTCCCTTCCACATAAAGGCTGTCTGCTCGCCAGGCATCTGGCCGGCAAGACTGGGCTGTGTGACTTGCTCAGCATCTGCAGCTTTGCTTAAGAGACCTGCTAACAGGAAAGTGTCTGGTTCCTTTCCACCCTAAACAGGAAGCGCCTGCCATGGTGGGAGAACTGGGTAGCCTGGTCATTTATAAGGAATCTCCTGTTGCGGCTGGAAGGCCTGCTCTCGAGGAAGGCTGGAGGAACTGGGTCCCAGGGACACCACCCTTGCAAGGGTGGAGTGCTGACAATGGCTACACACTGCTTGTGGCACTTGGCACAGAGCAGCCGTCATTCTTTCAGCAAACACTCATGAGACACTCACTTGTGC